TCCGATAGCCTCTAATAAGATTCATTATTATACTTCACCTTAACCCATATAATTTCCTGTAATAATCACATAAGAACTGCTTATCTAACACATTATTTAAGAAAAATAAAACTAGGGAATTCAGCATTTGAAAAAATACAGTTATAGAACAGAACCAAGAGAGAGAGACTCATAGGGTGAAAGCTCTTTGCTAAGGATTAAACCTGTAATATGTCAGCAGTAGATATCAGTGCTATAATTACAGATGATATTAGTAAAACAATTAAGTATTTTAAGTCACAGAAACCTTTCAAGAAATTACTAGTAAACTAAAAAGCAGGCCAAAGGTCATCTCATTTAATTGTCAATTTTTTTTCACAATCGATTTCTAAAATGTCTCAGGAAGAGAGATATAAGTGAACCCTGAAATCTCTCCTCTGTACTGCAGGTCTTGGTTGCATGCTATGGATAAGATAAAAAATCCAGGCCTTCTGTGTGAGCAGGAAACTTGTCCCAGCTGAGAACTAGCAACTTTAACAATATTTGGAGTTAAATGTTCTCTCAAAATGCTTAAGTTTTTCAAACTTGGACATCCATCTCTAGATCCAGCTGTTTTCATTTGGAACCTGAATTAACCTTATGAACATGTAAGCTTGTGAACACTAGCTGCATCTCTACCTTTAATCCCATAGCTGCTCCAGTCCTGCAGAAAGCAAACTCACTCGAAAATGGAACAGGACTTAAAATGGAGCATTTCAAAAAGGATCGCTTCCCAGACAGTCTTGTGTCAATACTGTATTGCTTTATGAAAAGTGTTATAGCCAATAGTTGTGTATGCCCAGTGAAAAAAGGAAGACTTGATTCTTTAATAGGTGTATTAGCATGTATGCACAGGTTTCTTTATAGCATAGAAGAGAAGACGATCCCATCTTTCAGAAACTGTAGCTCAATGTGTACTGTTTTTTTGTGTTTTTTTTTTTTTTTTTTGCTTTCTCTTTGAGTTTTGCATACCTGTGGTCATGCACCTCAGCTCAAACATTTCTAGTATTTTCAGCTTCTCTGATGAAGGTAGGACTTCCCACTTCATAGTAATGTAGACAGTTCACAGATAAGCATTTCCTCAGAAACTGACACTTGGTAAATGTGAGGGACAGGAAAAGAAGGGAACTTTTATGTTAGCATCGATTAAAGAGATTTTATATGATCTGGTATGATTGAAAGCAAAGAATTTCTACTACTACGGTAACAAAAAAAAAAAAAGTGGAATGATTTCCTACATGTACATCCTCCCTTTTCTGATTTACATGTGGCATTCTTTGTTGGGGTAGAAGTTTCTATTAAACGCAGTTGTAATTCCTTAAGAAGACACACCCTCATCCCACAAACATGCATACACATAACAATTTCTATTAAATTCTGTAGAATTTCTCACTAGGGTTTTGCAGAACGTAGTTGCTCCATAAATTACTTGCAAAAACAAGAAAGTAAAATATAATTCAACAATTTTTGTTCATACATTGCTTTATATCGAAATAGTTTACAGCTGTCTGAGACTAACTGGTTCAATTCATTCACAGTGATTTATTTATTAATGTTGTTGATTTGCACAACAAAAACTGCTTGGAGTACACTGAACTGTTATATAGAAAGTTGATAAATATATTTAATTTATTGATTTGCAAATGGCAAATTTATTTCATCTAAAAAGTTTATCGGTTTATAAGAATGAAATATTGATTTTTGTGTGCAGTATAAGTTTTAGATGTGCACTTAAGTAGACACAACAGAACTGCTTACATTGCTTTGTGAAAGTCTATCTAGCTTATTGTCCTTATTGTTATTTTGAGGGGTTCATGGATAGGTTATAAAAATGAATTTTTCCAGATTCTTCTTCTAAGACAGTCATGTATCTACTTTTTGACTTCTCAGTCAAAAGCACTTTTAAACGGATTCACAAAACACTTTTAATCAGTAGATCTTTAGAATAAATACTCATTACCATAACTGTAGATTTATTTCTGCCTATAATTTCTGCAATTGGCTATTTACATGTATGTTCTGTGTTTTCTGGTAAAGAAAGCAATGTGTTTATTGAACGATAATGAGAAGTATTGTAAAACTCCTACACATGTATAGATGAATTGAATGGTGAGTTAAGGCTGAGACTGATGGTGCTGCAGACAGAGAGAGAATTTGTCCTGAAATGTTCATGAGTTAATTCCTCTTAGCCCTGGGGCTGAGAAACCTTCAAGCACATCACATCAGTGTTCCCCAGTCTCAACAAGTCAGTTCAATGACTTGCAGATTCCCTGTTATCCCCTCACACATTATTTGTGTCATTGTACTGAGTTTCTAGTAAGAGCAATGTTAGGAGCTGCACTTATTCTTTATGTCTACATAGAGTTTATATTAAGATGCCTGTATTTACATAATAAGGCTAATCACTGAAGTGAAAGACTTCCCACCAGAGTGAAGGAATGATTTTGCTGATATTGCATGGGCACACAGGTTTTCAAACATCATCTATGAAGAAAATAGGTCTAGTAATTTTACAGACTCCCTTCTTGTGCTGCTCTTCTCCTTTCTTCCCCCACTGTATCTCAATCCTATTCCCTTCTACAGCTCTGCTGATGTAATTGATCATGGGACTAAACAGTGAATTGTAACACTGTAGGGACTCCATCTCAGCCAGACCCAGTACAATAGAGTCTCTAAATACCTGCTTTATTTAGTTTTCCATTATTAAGTCAAATAAAAAGCATATATGTTTTCTCCATAAAGACTCTCCATCAAGTAATAAGATACATTTCAGTTCTGGAAAACATTAATTTTTGATTTTCAATGAAGTAACTGTCCCAAATGTAGGTTTGGCCTGAATAGGTGAATCATGGTATAGACATACACATAAAAACAGGTTAGGCTCAAACTATTAAGTTGATCAGGAATTCAAGGTTTAACAAAGGGCGACATTTACTTGCCCAAATTATGTATGTAAGATTTCCAGAATAAAATGAGCTTTACTTGATGAAGAACATGCTCAAGTGAGTGACAGTGTATGCTTATTTGAATGAGCATGCACATTGCCATTTGGGAAAAGTAGCTAGCTTGACCACAAATAAGAAGGTGTGAATAACTTTGTTTCTTCACATATCATATCATACTCAAAAGCAGTATCACATTTTATTTTTTTTATTTTTTTTCAGCAACAGGCAGATGAGATCAGATCTCAACAGGAAACCTAAACCTATTGTAACAATTAATGCTGTTAATGTTGATTTGCTGAGATTTCAAGATTTTATTGAATGTCTGAGTCATCAGGTGGGACTGCATCACAGATTAATTTTGTCCCAGATATTAGCTAAGTTATTTCTAGCTATGCTAATAGACCTGAAGGAATATGACATCTGCCACACAACAATCTAAACACAGAGTTTTATCTATTGTGTATACCCATGCAAACTTATGCTATTCCATTACCTCAACCTTTACACTTACCTGGAGACATGAAACTTCTGAAACTATCTACTGATGACTATATAGAGTCTTAAAATTATTACTAGTAAAACAACAGCAGCTGGGAGGCTCCAAAGCTAGTAACTATATGAGAAGACCGAAATTCTTCCATCACAGAGCTTATAGTATAAATGAAAGATAGAAGAAAAAATATACAATAAACAAACTGAAAGAATACAAGGTAAAATGGAAATCATAGACTAAAGAGAAGATAGTTATCATAACAAAGATAAGTTTTAAAGAATGTTTAAAAATTGAATAAAGAATAGAGTGGCTTCTGGGATCCTACTGTTAGCTTCTTTACCAAAGGACATTCTACACAAGCAATAAGAATCATAACTCAAATGCATTATGTGGGGAACCTGACAAGTGAGTTTTGAGTGTAATTCTAAACTGATTAGTGTATAAAAATATCCAGGGAGATGTTCCTTTAAAAGTGCTTGTAAAAAAACACATAGATAAAATCATTTTTTAAAGGAATATTTATTTTCAGTTCAATTTAAACAACTGACTTTTGTAACACATACTAAAATCTTTAGGAAACATTCTAAGAAATTCAGAATTATAGCCACAGGGATAAATTAAATGCATTTCAGTTTTGCAGATTAAAATACAGAATATGTTTGCATCATTCTGCATTTTATTATGTTGCTGCCTTTTGGTATGCTTTACATTAAAAATACATGACTGACACTCTTTATACCAGTAAGCCATTTTATTGGAAAAAAAAAAATATTATTGCATTAAACTACATTCCCAGGAATTATTTGAATAACCTAAAAAAAAAGCCGCATTGCATGTACAATAGTGCAATTCACTTAGCTACTGTATAATATAAAACACTTTATACAGAGAATACAAAACAAAATTACTAGTTTACATATTATACTAGCCAGAGTATTATCCAGTTTTAAATATAAACTTAACACTTTTAAAATCAATCCGGTCAAATGACATTTTAATGCAAATTTGAGCAACAAATATACATATTAAATGTATTCCAGAAGTGCCTCAGTTATGGGAAAAAAAGAAAAAAAAAAGAAAAAAAAAAAAGAAAAAAAACTGTCATCATTGTGGAACTCAAGAAACATTAGTTATTGGAATTTTACAGTATGGATGACCTATTTTCTTGGATTATGGATGAAGAATATACAATCAAGCTAAAACAGTTATTTAACTTTGAGTGTATATATCTTTACCACAAGGATTCTGTAACTCTTTTAAAAGTTAGTATAACTAAAATCAGAATTGTATCATGGCTCCATCCATCAGGCTCAATTACGCTTTTAATAATAAACATGATGCATGTTTAAAGAATATTACTGATGAAAAATAAAATGTCAGCAAGTAGAGCAAATACATCATCTCAGCTGTGCTGATAATTTTATTACATTTCTCCAAGAAAATCCCTTCTGTGTATTAAGAAATCTATTGGACATTCTCTTCATTGATAGTCAATGACTGCTGTTTTACTATTGAGTTGTTTCAGTCACTTCTTAATCTCTCTCTTTTTTTTTTTTTTTTTCCCCTCTACACCTATCAAAATCCTAATTCCTATTGTTCCATGAATTAAATTCAATTTTTATTGTCTATTCATTTGCCTTACCAGATCATCCTTGCTGGTATACATAATGATGAGTAGATATCCTATGATTTGTTTCTGTCCTAGAATCCCATTGTATTTTACATACATTAAGGGTAATGTGTATGCTTCCCATAAATGATCTACTTATTAGGATGTTGTTAAGTTTCATTTGATGAGCTTTTTGCTGTAGGAATTTCTACAATATTAATGTTATCTGCAAGAAAAAATAATGAAAAATATGTATTAAATATGAGAACAGTCTGATTTCTTTATCACTTTTTTCCTCTCAGTGTTAACCATTTATGATCCAAACGTACTAGTACAGACAATAAAAAATGTCACTTTATCTTGAATGGGAGAGAAATTGTGCCAGCAAATTGGCTTTTTTTTTTTTTTTATTTTTATTATTATTTATTATTATTTTTTTGTGGTTTGAAATGCATCTTTGAGGTTGGTATTAGCCCTGAACTGGTGGTAGGGGCTGTTCAGTTCAGTCAGCTTCTTCTAGAAGACAGGTTGACTGTGTTCTACACTGTTTCTACAGAATTATAACTATTTTTTCCAAATGATCCTCTGAGAGTATGAATTCACTCTGAGATGAATGAATTCATTCTGAGTACTAATTTTCAGAGCTGATAAGTTGTATTCAGTGAGCTATATTTGATTAACAGAAAACAGATTTCAAAAGTATGTAAATAATATGTAAATTCAGATTTTCAGCAAAAAATAAAAAGTAGAATTTTAAAACCGTGGCGATATGTATTTTTTATGCTAAAACAAAACAAAACAAAACAAAACAACACATATCTGACTTTCTTAATTATGAAACAATAATTTTAAATTTAAAAAAATCCCGACAATTAAAATAAGAAAAATTAAACCATAAAGATAAGTAACTCCAAATTATCATGAACCAATTTTGCTAATTAAATGAATAAATCAGCTGGGAATGCAACCAAAACACATTTGATAGGATCTGGTTTCACCAGCCTATTTTTCATTACAAAATATTTTGCTTCTATTTAGTCTCCAGATTTTTTTTCTAACAGTTTTTCTTTGATGGCTAAAATGTTAAGCAACCAAAGAAATTTTGACTTTGAAAATCAACTACAAAGCAAGCTATTGCAATTTGTAAACACATTCAAAAAATTTGGCATAATACCAGTTTATGCTGAAGCAGCTGCTTTTAGAAATTAAAACACTTCTATTTTACTGCAATGGATCAATTTAGTTTGATTAAAACTAAGTCAGAAAATTGGTCCTAAGTTGTATTTTAAATACTGAGCCTAATTGCAATTCTCAGCTTCTTCAGATAGCTGAATGTAATGGAATAAAATCTTCCAAACATTTACAATGTGGTTTATATCAATTCTGAAATCTATTAGTAATTGTTCATTACATCATTGCAAATGAATTGAAATTATTTCAGATGTTTCAAATCCAAATAAACAGGTATTGTCTGTCAGACACTTCAACGTCCAATTATATTGGGAGGCAGGTCCATAGTCTAGCCACAATTATGATCTTAATTTCTTGCTAAATATCCCATGTTATTTTAGTAACATTATAAAAATATCCAAAGTATGCCATTCAAAGAGATTTCAACTACGCATTACCCTGAAGGTTAGATGCAAGCAAGCCTTCAGTTTGCAAATTCAAAATTTGGGAAGCCATGCTAGAAACTTGGCATGTTTGCTTAGATTCAGTATACCTTGTTCTTATGAGAACTGTGACATGCTTGTTCATGAGACTTGACCTGGAAAACCAGTTTCTGCTCAAAATTTTATTTCTGTATTTTTATGAATTTCATTGTGATGTTGTAAAACCAGACAATGTTATCTGTGAAAGGGGTGAAATATATTTACATGTACTTTGGGCAAGACTCTCTCCAGCACGTCAATGCTTTGTTGGCAAGAAAGAATTACCTTGTGGGCCAGTGACGTCCAAGGTTCAAGGCCAACACTATCTGAATTGAAATTCTGGGCTGCTGCTCCCAAACCTGACATACCTTGTGCAACAGCCACAGCAAGCAATGCCAGAGAACTTGGTTTCATCATTTTCCCTCTCCTGCCTTCTTGGAAGCCTGGCTAGGGAGAAAATTATCAGTCTGTGCCAGCAAAGAACCCCCTACACTAAGGAAATATTTTTGTTATGTGTTTGTGGCCAGACTACAGTCCAAGTATTATATCCCAGCAATAAGATCACTAAAGTAACTTTGAGATGTTGTGATGACCCTGTTCCTCCAATGTTAACTCATCACCTGCCATTATGAGACTCTCCAAATTATGACTGGGAAAGAGAACCAGGTACACGTGGTCCCAAGTTCTATTTTTTTGGCTCATTCTGAAAGGCCTTAAACAGATCAAGCATTACACCATTCCGTTTACATGTTCATAAAAGCAAGCCTTTGAGATGTGTCAAGATTGTACTACCTTAAATTGTATTGCTTGAAAATCACCTGTCATTGTTGATGTTCTTTGTCCTGTTCTGCCTGGTTGATGTGGTCCTACTGACACTCACAGGCTTCACTTCAGTGTATTCTTTCTAAACTTTCTGCAGAATGACATTAGCTGGACCTTGTATTTCTTGAGATGGTATCAGGAAAGGCTTTATAACTGCTTTTATACTGTGATATGAGAAACAAATCAACATTCATATGCAGCCAGAAAACACTTGTACTTTAAAATATTTGCCATTGTGTACAGTAAAACAGTAGATTTTCCCTCAGATACATGATTGAACACTGGATATCTTTTTTCTTTAAATTTGTTTCTGGAGCCATGGTGCAATTGTTTGGGCTAGTTTAAATAACTAGAAACACCAAAAATTTCTTTTATTGTAGGTAACTGTTGGGTCTGGCTAGAGCAAGAATGATGATGGGGATCTTGACCTTGGAATAACGGATGAACAATGGGATTTGGGTGTATAGCAGGAGGTGTGGCTGCATTCATGTGTGGTGTAAATAAGGCTGGGATGTAAGCAGCATGTGGCAGTATGGGGAAGTTCAGTGGGGAAGGGTGAGTAGGGGTGGTGGAGACCAAGTGCAACGGGTGTCCTGCCAGCAGAGCAGGGTGGGCAGGAATGAGGGCTGGTGCTAACGGAGAAAGTGATATAGGGGTGAAATGTGCCTGAGAGAGGGGATGGAGGTGTGCCAGGGAGAGATGGCCACCATGGGGATGTACAGATGCTGAAACAGCAAAGCGTTGCAACAGTGTATGGTGGATGGTGGTGACAGTAGCATGCTGCTGAACAGGGATGGTGGGAACTGCTGGTGTTGCAGAGAAGGCAGCTGGTCCTGGGGCAGGCAAAACTTTCAGGTGTTTTGACAGAAGTTGTTTCTGCATATGCTGCTGGGCTTGCAGCTGCAGCAACCTGTATTTGTCTACTTCTTCTGGTGAGAATGTTATAGGCTGCTGTGTGAAAGGAGGGGAGATGGATTTAGTGTACACTTCCAGTTCATTTACTGTGTCATTGTAGTTCTGCATAGCATTATCACAAAGAGAGTCTGAACTGCCTTCTGCCTGGTTAGAGTCCATGTTTACATCATGTAGTTCTTCTTTGGTCTCTGTTGAATTAGCAACAACAGAATATCTTTTAGAGGAAAAAGCACCAGGGAAATCATTTGGTACTGGGTCACAGCTTTGTATAAAGGGTTGAACTTCATTAATGAAGAGATTGGATTTTTCCTTTATTGCTGTGCTCCTTTTTACGCTCGGGCTCTGATAGCCTGTTCCTATTTGAATGATGTCTTTAAAAAGACAATGATCATAATCAGTCCCCGTTGAACAAGCAACATTGGTTATCTCTGAAGCTTCAGATTTGTTTCTTTTCACACTGCATTCCAATGGACTTTCATTTTGACCTATGTCATTTTTACCTGTGCTTAGCAGTTTCTCTGGCAAAGGTAACATTGCCGTGTCAGCTACCGATGATGAAAACTGAACTGCAAAGTGACTTCGTGAAAGATCCTTTAATTCCATACCACAAATGTTTGAAAATCTCTCTGAATCACGCATTTGTTCTTGGGTTTTCTTGGACTGCACTCTTTCCAACAATAACTTGGCTGTCAGTGACTTTCTTTTTCCACATATGTCTTTTTCCAAGGTTTCAGAAGAGCGGGTATCAAAGTTTTTTGTCTGGCTGTTTACATTCAGAAATTCATAATGTGTAGTTCCATCATTTCCTCTTTTCGTGTTAGAATCTCTTTCTGCGTCCTCTTTTGTTTTATTCTCACAGTTATCAGTCTCTTTTGGGAAGAACCCTGCGCTACTACCTCTTGATATTCTGCTGCTAGATGAGCTCTCGCTGCTTCTTGATTCTGTGGTGGAAGAACTTTTGGAGCCATTGTAGCTTCTACTTCTACTGTGCACTCTGCCAAAATGCTGGTGTCTACATTTGCTGTGTTTAGATCTATCTCTGCGGTGTAAAACTTTATGTCTTGAACATCTTTGATATTTAAGTTGTGCCCCTCTGTGTGCAATTTCTACTTCTGTGACTTCTAACATGGCAAAGATAATTATCATATGCATCATCAGAAGTAAAAATACAGTTGTGCTTTCTGTGTTTACATTTGTGCCTTTCAGCTGTCTTGCTTTTCCTTTTGCAACAAAAAAACAAATGATTTCTGCTGTGATTATTTGATGTGGGACTAGAGGAACTGCTCATATAAGTACTTGTACTGCTAACCGAAGTGTCAGAATAGCTGGAATGTCTGTCAGAGGAGGACTTTTGAGGAGATGGAAATCTCCAGCATCTTGTAAAACTTCCACTTTCTTCATTTTCTGAATACCTGCTGTTCGAACCAGATTTATAACTAAGGAAACTTCCACTAGAATCTTTTCCACTGTCACTTATGTCACTGCTGCAGCTGGCCACATCTTGAATGGATCTGCAGTCATTTTGGTTTTCGTGATTTTCTTCAGAATAAATTAAATGACATTTTGCAGCTTTAGTCTTTTTAATCCTAGACATAAAAGCAGAAAAGGAAATGCTTTCATTTCTAATGCTCTGTTTTTTTCTTTCACAGCTATGGAAATGATGCTTTAAAGATCTTTTCTGTGGTGTTGTATGAAGACCTTTTTCTGTCATATAATCCTTTTCTGAGACATCAAGGTAAGCAGGCACTTTGGGTATATTTTCATTCAAATAATCTGAAATATACTTTTGACCATTTTTGTTTATTTCTTTCCCTATGTCTGACTCAGCTTTTTGCTTGGCCTTTCTTGGATTTAGGGAACCTTTCATCTTCTTTGGTTTCAACAACTGATTATCTTGTTCATTTGACATTTGCTTATGTTTTATTAAACCTGAGGCTTCATTTTCATCTGCAGTCTTATTTATAGAGTACTCTTTACAGCCTTCTTTGTTTGTTTCATGCTGTTTACCATCTCTGTGATTTAAAGAGAGTCTGAAGTCAAAATACAATGGATTACAGCCGTATGAAATACAGGGCTCAGTTTTTGTAAACAAAAGTAATTCTGTGGGCCACTGCAGAGCAGTGCTGCCATCTTTGCTCACTACGTGGAGAAAAGGCAATTCCTGGGGCTTAGCCTCTTTAACCACAGTCTCTCTAGAATGCAATTCTGTATTTCCATTTGTGGTTTCTGAAACCTCCAAAGATTTTTCTCTCTTTACCACCCCAGGACTGTCATTAACGTTGCTTGAAAATGTCAGCTCAGGCACTGGCTGCTGTTGTGGGAGCTCAGGTAACTGGTCAGACAGTTGGGCATTGCTGTGCTTGGAGGTGTTTGGCTGTATACAAAAACTGTTAGCTTGGCGTGAAGGTGAAATGAGAGTTTCCAACAATTGCTCAGACTCATTCAGTTTACTCTCTTGATCTGTTTCTCTAAGTGAACCTGAAAAATCCAAATTTGAAAGCTGTATTTTGATTTTGGAAAATGAAGGATGAACACCGACCTTTTCTTCTATTTCTCTATCAGCTACTTTTATCATTTTCTTTTAGCATTTTAAGTTTCACAGCTCCATGACTTGGTGCACTGTTATCCATTTGGTCTTGTGGAATAGATGGCCCTTTCTCCAGGCCTGTTTTTATATCCTCTTCCAAAAATGTGCCAGAACGACAGCCCTCAAGAGCTTGCTTTGTTTTATGGTTGGGAGATTCACTACAATCATTTCCTTCTTCAGAGTTCTCACTAAAGACTGATGCTGAGGACTCAAGCTTCAAAGGGGCTTTTTTAGAAAATGAGAAAGACACCCCTGCTCTTTGAGAAGCATTGGTGCTATCTGGGAACACATGTGAGACTTGATTTCGAAGCACATGGCGCCTTTCAGTAGGTGAATGGTGCCTGCTTATGATAAGCTGCTGTTTCTCTAGTATACTGCTGGAGAAACCTTGTCCTTCACTTGCAGTGGTGCTTTGAGGACCAGCTGTGACTGTGCCACCCTTGTATAGGAAGACTCCATCTGGTGACTGCTGCTTTTCCATGACTAATCTGGGGGCTTTAAGCATTGGTCCACTTCCAGTGATGCTGTAAGAAAATAAATAAAAACACGGTTGTATTAATTAAGTAACTAAATTAAAATAGAACACACATTTGGCAATACATGTTTGGTAAAAGAGTGCCACTCATAAGACACTTCCACCCATAACATCTGCAGAATCAGCCTTTGTAGCAGAAAAGGCAGTATTCGGCTTGCTTCATGTGTGTGTGTAGGTTAAAGAGCAAATTTTATTTTACCTTTATATTATTCCACAATAAATGATTTTGTGAAATATTCAGAGATATTAGTGCTAATACTATTTCCAAACATTGGTGGGGGAAAGGACACAAGGTGGAGTTCCATCAATATTAATGGCAACATCAGCACTCTCATTATCGAACACCATTTGACTTTCTTTGTTGTATTTTTTCCTCCTGTATTTTATTTCAATTAATTACATTCTTATTTTTCCACTAAACTCTGATTTTATATCTGGGGTTTACTTTTCCCACACTTTTAAACAAAAATCAAAGTATTCTAAGGAGAACTTAACAAACATGGTGAATTGTTGATTATTTTCAATTGATGTTTAAATATATGGAATGACTGGAATGACTACTGTTTTTTTTCCATTAGAGATGAGATGTACATAGCCAACAAAAAAATGTTATTCAAAGTAATATTTTAAACATGCATTTCATTAGATAAATTATCTACTTTTGCTATCAAAGCCTACAATTCACTTACATGAAACAATCATGGAAGCAGCTTCAGTAAAGAGTTTGATTAAAAATTAGAAAATATTTTAAACATCTGTAAGTAAATTACAACTGCCAGATCTGCATAGCAGTTATCTATAAATAGGCTAGCATGTTTTATAAGTGCTATAAAAAAGCATTGATCTCCAGCAGTGGGAACAACATAAAGACTCCCTGGGGTAGGGTCACCTCAGAGTAAGAGAATATATATGCATATCTGAGAATGAATTTGCATTTGCCACAAACAGCACCAGAAGATACAAATCCACCCTTATTTGTACATCAGGAAGGAATTCTGTCTTGTAGAAAGTATATAAAGAGATCTTTTTGAAAGTCTCCTTGGAATAGCAAAATAAAGTTTTTTTTTTTTTTTTTTTTTCCGCAGTTTTTCTGTGCACCAGATTAACAGTAATTTTGTTGTCAGATTGTATTAGCTTGTTGTAAAGTACCCTGCTGGAACCTGAGACACAGTATTCAGGGACAATAACAGTTGTGTGTGTGCACAAACTTTTGCCTAGCAAGGCTGACTTTCTGTCTTACCTGAACAACAACCAAGATTGCACATCTCAGCCATCCCTGAATTCATCTGTCGTTAACAACAGGAATGGCACATGCTGTATTTCCAGGTTCTCTGTAATGGATATGGGACTTGTAGCTCTTTCTATAAGCAGACCCAGTTGTTCCCTTCCTGTCTCATTCAGACCTGATTTTTTACTATTGATCTTATCAGTCTATCTGAAACTACATCTCCAACTACATAGACATAAAGGCATTTTTCCACAGGCAGTTACATTTTTTTTTCAGTAGAACTGTATGAAAATGGAGTTGTAACCATAAAAGTGATACATTAACACTAAACTGTTATATTTCAGCAGATTACTTAAAAGCAATTACATTGGCCAAAATGAGTGTATAATAAACTCTCAATGTTATTATTTCTAGGGTACTGTAAAGTTGATATGAATTAAAAAGGATGCCAGTTTAATTATCTAATTAACTCATTACTGTCATAGATTAACATAAACAATTGGTCTGTTAGCAATCTATTCTGCTGAAGCATTCAGTGTCATTAAACAAAGGGGATTTCTCAAATGTAAGGCTTTATTATTGTAAATTTCATACTGTATCTTGATATGCATCAATAGAACTAACAGTGCTGGGTAAACTTAACTGACTTAATTACTTTTTTTCCATTCACATAATGATATTTCCATTAGTGTACAAAGAAACTGTGAGAATAATCTCAGTATATTGAAAATAATGAAAATGATTCGCAGACCAGGCACGAGCAGACCAGTGTTAAAAGGGTGGCTTTCCTCTCATGTTAGCTTACTACAAAATGATAAGACATTTATACTAATCTACATGGGTCAGTTCTAATAAGGTAAAATGGTGATATAAAATCATCTCCAAACCACTCAGTTCAGAACAGATTAGATTAACTGGTTACAGGAGGGAAAAACACACACCCTCAAATAGCATGTAATTAATTCAGGGACTTTCAATTTTATGGTTTACAGAACAGGAACATTAGGAGTTGGGGATAGCTGAAAGCAGGTTATGATACATGCAATCTCTGTCCATTACAGAGTGTAGGAGTAAAAATTTGGAGATTTCTTTTGGGATTGAGGAAAGTGGGCATTAAAATGTAATATGTTTTAAACACTTGCCATTCTGATTGTTTCCGTAACTCTGCGAGCTGGTGGAGCCGCTTGAGTGCTTTTTCCTGTTTCTTCTCATCTTTCCATGACTTTGAAGCCACATTTCGAGCAAATTCCCTTTGTTTCAAATCTTTCAATCTCTGTGTGAAAAAAGCAAAAAGAAAATGGATTACATATGTAAACAGCATATGCATTACCTGTAACTCAATTTATTTGCTTTTGGTGAAGCTAGTATATAAATGGACAGAAAGAATATACTTAAAATGCTATCACTCTAAGAAGATATTGAAAATTTTATTTTTGCCCAACAAAATAATATGATCGAGCCATCACTACTTAGCTGATATATACCCATTTATGAATGAAACCTTCATTCATAGATGCAGATTTTAATTATGAAATGTATTTGTCTTATGCATGCACATATCTTCTGTTGTGTATAAATACATGCACAAAACTAGCCTCCATTTAATTCAGTTGGAGTTCTCCTGTCATATTCAGTCAGTTGGAATTCAATCCATAGCCATATACTGGAATAAATCTGAGTTTGTGTGTGTATTTTATATATCTCTATACAATGCACAGGTATGCATGGATGTGTATGTGTCTCTGTGTTGGTTCTGTAGCTTTTTAAGACTGCATTTGTAATTTAAAGGAGAGAACTACTGTCTGAAACATTACATCAGGAAACTCTTTTATGGGTATATTCACAAATTTTCTGGATCACCTCATACGCCTATAAGTCAGATAATTCCTACTGGAGAAAGCACAATTCTTTGCCTTTATTACTTTTTTATTACGTGGTTTTGTGGTGCTGGTAGTGTAAGGCAAAGTGAAATAAAAGAAGACCAAAAACAGAAAGTGTCAAAAATATCCTCTAAAAAAAAAAAAAAAAGTGGTGCTATCTGGGCATTGAGTTCACTGTGCTGTCTAGTCTCTGTGGGTCATGCCCAGCATTATGACCCACCAGGAACATGCACTTCCCAATTCACATCCATATTTGCATGCCTCAAACCAGAAATACCTTGCTCCCCTCACCAACTTCCCAGCACCAGTGTGTGTGAGAAGGGAGCTCAGATACACTGAGTCAGATTTCCAACTGGAAACCTTGATGACCAGGACTAAGAGCTGAACCCCGGCATCCACTTGCCCCTCAGTCTGAAGGAGGCCCTGTACCTCTCCATATACTCCAGAACTGTAGCATCAACACTAAGGAAAGCTGATTTTTCCATGAACGCCAAAGAGCCATTTTTTTTTGCAAGCTAAACTTGAAGAAAGACATTGGTATCACTGTCATTTTTAAACTGTTTTTCTGCTGCCAACATCTTTGTCTACTTGCCTGCCTACCAGCACCTAAAGATCAACATCCTAAGCACTGTCATCACCTCATCTTCTACAGCATGGCCAAAAGCACAACGTGCTTCAGAAGAATAAATTGCAGGCTGACCCAGGAAGGTAACAGCAAATAATAATTTGCACTGCCAGGACCTCATGTCAAAGTATATGTCTCTGAAGACGCTGCATGGGGCTTATATTTCCAGAATAGGCAGAATAAGCTGCTCAAATGTCTCACCATGCCTGCAGACCACTACACAGGCCATTGGACATCTGTGTTTGAGGTACCAAGCTGAAGATCCGGAGGCCTTAACATAGAGAGTGTCAAGAGAATGACAAATGCATGAAATGTGCATTCTGGAGAGAGAAATAGCTTTTGTCGGTAAATGAAGACAAAATGAGTAGTGAAAAAAAAATAATAAAAAGGGCAACAAGAAAAAAAAAGCTGTGTTGTTGTTTTATAAAATCTAGAGATGCTAATTTTTGTTTTGTTTTGTTTTTCTCCAGTCAAAATTAGAGAAATATTAAGTCATCCACTTAATGGTGATGGCATAATATCACAGAGAGACACACAGGAACCCTTGAGGGAAAGAGGTGATACAGGCTCTGATTATGTTTTGTGAAGCTTGCTGGAAAGCTGTGGTAGTTGTGGTGGGTATCCCTCATCATGGTCATGTCAACTCCACTTCAACTACATTTGCGAAAAAAGAATTGAAAAATAAATTAAAAATACAAAAGTCAGACAACATTTGTTGGGAGAAAAAAAAAAAAGTTGTGAGACTAAGATCAGAAGTTTCTTGTTTGCTCCCAGACTTCTGGCCACTTGTGCTTCTGAGCACTGATATGGAGCTAGAGAGAGCTGGTCTGTCCAGCAATCAGCTGTCGAGGGAGCTTAAGAGCTGTCAGTGACCTGCCTGATGTCTTCCCATGGACAAACTCCCTTGGGTGGGGAGGAGAAGGCCAGAAAGGCAGTTGCTCAGGCAACAGGTGCAGCTCCAACCAGCAAGAACCATCCTGCCACCTGGTGCCTGTTGAAAGTTTAACTGTATTAAAGTATTAAAAGAAACCTTTGCAGTCTGTCTAATCCATGTATATCTCTGGAAATCCTCTATCAGCTGCGACTTTTGGTATTTCACCAAACTAGACTCCAAAGCAGAACATCTGCAAAGTCCTCTTTAAAACACTTAGAATTCAGTTCCTTAGAAATAAATGTTTGTTTGTTTGTTTGTTTGTTTGTTTTTTTCCTGTCCCCCTCCCTGTCCATCTGACACTTTCCAGGCCATATAGCATTCCATTCCCTCAACATTTTTGCCTGCAGTTTACAATGAATTAGACAAATATTTAAGAAAACATTACTGCTGGTCCAAGAAAGAAATTTCTTTTTAGTAATATGTTAAAGCCAAAGCAGTAAATTAAACCAGAGAATCTTCCCAGAACAAACTTTCTGTCATCTTTCATATTACATGAGTGTACAGATATTTAAGCAGTAAAGATTCTATTTTCCATGAAAAAACACAGAGTCTCGAGTCTTATTAGCATCTTCCATGTGAAGAAAGGGCAAAGAAATACATTTGAGAAGTGTCGTTTAGTGCCGCTTGCTGTGTTTTAGCTGTCACCATGAGCTGTTTGGTATCACACATAAAGCATTCATGAGGAAAAACAGAAACAGTTTCTACCTGTCAAGGAAACAAAGAACAATGTGCATGCTAGTACTATGGAGTGCAGGTACTGCAAAGCAATGCCATTTCACTTCTTTGACAGTTAGGATGATAATCAACAAAGCAAATGGACCAACACTAAGAATAGAAATCCTAGCGGTATTTTTTGCTCTCTAATGGCATACAGAATGTGTCAAGGAAGGAGAGAAAAGAATACAAAAAATATAGGTAAGCATAGCTAAGAACTCATCAACTGGAGATGAAAACCAAGAAATCAAAGGCATCTACAGTCTGAGCAGAGAAAGGGTCTCTCCCTGCTCATGCCCTCATCAAAACAAAAAGCTGCACTGCTAGAGCTCCAGTTAGGAACTGTAATGAAATTTGTCATCTATGTTGGATATACAACGGGACTGCCCACTGAACTTGCAAATGCCATGGTTTTCCTCACTAATAACCTGTGCCAATCTTTTGACAGGCATGCAAATATCTTTCACAGGTGGTGAACAACAGCATGCAACTGAGGATGTACCTGAATGACAACCCTAAGCTCAGCAGGTGTGTTTGAAAATTAACATCACTTTACATGGCAATTGCATTTTTCATGTAATTAGGTACTTAACTGGGCATCCAAATACAGGCACGTGTAATAAATTATGATTTATTTAATAGCAATTTAGTGTTCTGTCCTTCACCTGCTACAAATATCATTGCCATGGATTTATGTTTCATATTTAGACTCACGTTCTGTTCTTTCTGTTTTTCATGTAAGTGTGCATGTGGATACTGCCATATCTAAAAGTAACACTTTATTTATTTTATTTTATTTTATTTTATTTTATTTTATTTTATTTTATTTTATTTTATTTTATTTATTTTATTTTATTTTATTTCATTTCATTTCATTTCATTTCATTTCATTTCATTTCATTTCATTTTTTTAAACCCACACAGAATATTAAAAGACCACAAAATAATTTTCACTATTATGGAACACTTTAGTTATATAACCATGTCTGAGTCACATTGGCTCATCTGTATAAGACTCACTCAAAAATTGCTGAATATGTTATTTTCCCCCTTGAACTCTGGTATGATTCATCAGGGGATGCAAATGAGTCAATGGAGTTACATTTTTGTTATCTTCCTTTGTTAGCCAGGAAACATCAGTAGCCAAATACTATACCTGTATTGTACTACTGTAATTTAGCAACTTCTACCAGATTTTTTTTTTTTTTTACTTTTTGCTTTGTTGTGGCCAATACACCTGTAGCATACTTACCACTGACTGCATTTTCAGTAATAAGGTTAGTTTCTTTCCAGAGCTTGATCCTGATTTCTGTTCCTCCATGTGAAGAGGAGCATTTCTCTGGATTGTCATTAATCTGAATAAATTTAGACGCCTGTGGCAGTTTGGCAGTTTCTTAGATTTTCTTTACAACCACTGAAGAAAAATTAGCACTTTTAGGGACCTAATCACCTCATCTTAAGCCAGTGGGGTAAAGTGAGATGTAATTTCTTTCTTTTCATTAGGTACAGAGGGTATTAATGGAGACTATCTCAGACATGGACCACTTTTGATAGAGGAAGAGAGTGTGATTGGCACATTGTCACCGCTACAGGTAGTATTCATGTTTTCTAGGTTCCATAAAAGAGTAGTTTGTATTAGTGTTACTTTTGGCATACATAAAAGAAAGAAAGATTTCTGGGCTTATTAATTTTTTAATCTTTTTAGGAAACCATTGGCAAGATAAGGTTTCTATAATCTGCATTTCAAATTGATTCATTTTACAGGGGATATACAGAAAAATAAATAAATAAAAGAGAGTGAGTTTGCAGTACTGGTTAAGAACACAAATACGTTGAGAAGCATAGAGAAGATATTTGTTCTTCTTTCACTCCTGATTTCTTGTCTTGGTCATTTCCCTGCCAGATTTCTCACCCCTCCTTCTCTAGGTGGTTGCTGTCTTCAAGAACTACTTTTTCTCTTGTTCACTTTCTCTCAATTTAAGGACCAGAGGGAATGTAGTACTGGGAGACAGTTACTTCTTTTGAGAATTCTGCCAGGGGTCATGTTCACCTCATTATAGAGATCTACTTGGGAGTCTCAATGTATCTCTACTTCAGATACTGGGTCAAATAAGTGTTGC